AGGAAACTATTTATCTTACAATATTTTTTTTCAGAAAATCAAAAGCAGACTCCACCTATTTTTTTCAAAAATTTCCTCACTACATATAATTCATAATTTCTACTCGTGGTTGTGGATGAAAATGCATGTCCAGCCATAAATCCATCCATCAGACCCCTACAAAAGCAAACAAATAGTCAAAATGAAGAAAGGTAAACTATAATTTAGTCCTTTTATTTTTTAAAAAATAAATTAATTAGTCTTTTTATTTCAAAACTAATTATTTAGCCCATTGACCATTGTTGACCATGTTTAATTTAACATCATATTATAAAAAATATATAAAATTTTCTTATCAATCATTTCATATTTTTTTCCTTGTTTTTTTATTTCTTAAAAAAATAAAAATAAATTGAAAATGAACAAAAAGAATCGAGTTACTAGAAAAATTTAAAATACAGGGATTAAATAATTATTTTATGAAACAAAAGGAACTAGTTAGTTTATTTATTAAACTAAGGGACTAATTTATAATTTACTCAAATAGAGACCCCACCGGTTATCCTATTTAAATCAAGCTTGCATCTATCCCTTTATCTGTCCCGATAAATAGCTCCATGCCGTGCTGGAAACCCACGTGTTGCTTTCTGCATGAATGACCATTTTTGTCAGTTTCTGTGTCAAAAGAAACAAAAGAATTTTTAATTTAGCCCCATATATATTACTTTATTACCAATTGAGTCTCGTATTTTTTTATTTTATCAATTTTCTCCACATGTTAAGGATATTATTTAATACCAAGCCTCCATACAAACATTTCATCTCATTTACGCGTGATTTGTGTGTGCTCATAAAATGTTTTCGTTCAATATGCTCAATAAGATTTAATCTTTCATAAAAGATAATTTTAGTATCAATTCATAATAAACTTTGCTCTGCTTTACTAGATCGCGTGAAACGGAAAGTGAAATGAAATTTACTTAACTTTATATTAAAATTTTTCTTTAAAATAAAGTTTAGATTTATTTTTATTTTTATTTAAATAGAATCATTTAACAATGACGTGCAAATCAATTAAGATTTTTTAACTACAACTAACAACGAATTAATGGTGGATGATAATGGCGGATAATATTATTGTTAGAAAAAAAATTAAATAAAAAAATAAAACAAAAAAATAAGAGACAATCACACTATAATATTTATGTGATTGGACAAATTATGTCTACTCTACAGTTACGTTAAGAGTTTTTATTAGAGTTTTTCAATTAACAGTTATAAATCATATTGATTTTGTATAGCACACTAAACTACAAATCGGATCAATATAAGTCTCAACAACTTAACAATTGTTTGATGCAATTATATATACAGTGAAATAGGTAAAATCAAAAGATTTTATACTCAAGTTATAATAAGGCAATATATTAAGGATTCAAGAAAAAAGAAAGATAAATCCTCTGCTTTTGTCGGCTTATTACATGAGTGACGATGGGAATGGAGTCAGTTACAGCTAACAGACATCCAACGTAGTTGTAAAATTATTTTGTAATGGTCGTTGGTAAGTATTATTGCGTTCACGCGGTTGCCTTTACTATTATTTGAAGTTTCTAGTAATCTAACAATTAGATCGCAAAACAATTTTAGCTTCTTGGTCCCTGTAATTATATTTGTTCTACACATTAGATATAATATATTATTTTTCTGTACTTGAATTGTAAAATACCTTCATGAATAAAATTAATTAAATATAATACGCCATTTATAAAATTCATTAAATATAACATGTCATTTATTAGAATTTTTTTTTCTCAAACCTAAAACGCCAAGCTGAAAGAAATGCTTCAACTGTATAGTATATTTTAGTGAGTCAAGTAGGCTTATCTATCAAAACTTTTTTTTAATTATTATTATTTAACTGTTTGTGTCAAAATCCAAAATTGAATTCGAAAGGAGAAGGTTTTATTTATTTATTATTTTTTAACATTTCATTTTTCTGGTCTGGAGCGTTATTTTATTTACCTTTTTATTGCAATCCTCGTCAAATAGACGGCTACTCAATAGTCAATTCATAGAAAAATGACATTCAAAGCATAACACTTAATTATAATTTTATTTAGAGTAAATTGTAGTTTTGAAAAAAAAAGGGTTAATTAGTTTTTTTTGTCTAGTATCATGTTTAATTTAATATTATTTTATTTCATAAAATATTTTTTTTCATAATTTTCTCTATAATATTTATTTATTTATTTTTATATATTTTTTTAAAGAGCATAATTAAAACGAACAAGAAAGACTAAAAAATAGTTTTTTTGAAACAGAAAGAACGGATTAATTTGTTTCTAAAAAACAAGGGATTGATTTATAATTTACTCCTTTTATTTATTATTAATCATGGTTAGATTCTTCTGCAAATATAGCCAGATTTGAACAGTATCATGTAATCTACTATATTTTCTGGTACAATAATGTCATTAATATTATCACACATGGCTAGAATTTGGAAAACCTAACCTTTTTAAAATAAAAATAAGTTTTCATTTTTTTAATCCTTCCCGTCATAACTCTAAGTGAAATTCCAACCTAGATGTCTTTTATTATTATTATTATTATTATTATTATTATTATTTTCCCTTTGAGAATGATCCTACTGAATCCTCATCCTACATATCTTAAAATCAATAACTTGCCATAATCAAAATTTAAAATAAAAGTTTCTTTCTTTGTTTTTCTTTTTTCCTTGACTGCCAAGAAAATTTTATTCTTCTAAGAAAGGCTCTTTCTTTATTCAATCAAACTTCCAACAACTCCCGTTATATATATATATATATATATATATATATATATATATATATATATATATATATATTCTGTGTGTATATTATCCTAACAAATTTGGGATAAAATATTTCCTTGCATTTAGGATAAGAGGAAGTCGGGAAAATAGATTAATTGCAAGTTAAAAAAAAGAATTAATTAAAAGGTTCATATTCTATTGTTATTAATTCTTAGTTAATTTGTCAACATATAGCATGTGATATGAATATGATGGTTATCAAGATCTTTAATGCTGACGTGATAAGAGTTGGAAGGAAAAAAATGTGCTTTCACATTATGGAATGACCGAAATTGAGAAATTCGATGTCATAAAAAAAAAACAGGGATATTAGATAACACTTAGAAGTCAAGTAGATTTTTCTTACTTCATTAATTTAATGCCAAAATTAGACTTAGTATTTTTTTTATGAAAGATTATAACATTATTTTTGTTTTCATTTTCTTATAAAAATTAAATACACTAAACATTAATTTCTGATTAGATGACAAACAAGTTTGTTTTGCGTTATCATTTAACTTCAAATTAAGATGAGATAATAAAAAAATATACTAAATATATTATTTAAATATAAATAATATATCTAAAGTCTAATTAAAAATACTTATAAGTTATTAGTCTAGTAATAAATCAGTTGGTTTTAGACTAATTTTTTACTAAAATATAGTATTCAAATTTTAAAATTGAACTTGTTGAGAAGGAATAAATTTTATTATTTTTATTTTGAATATAATTAGTCATATCTCAAATATGAAATGAAAATATTAAGATTAAATAAAAAAATATGATTAGAAATAAATTTAATATGGATGCATATGAAAGTTGATGGAGAACACCTTTATATTCTCCTTTAATATAAAGTTAAAAAAATAAAAAAAAACTTTTCTTTATTTGTTTTTAGAACCAAGCTTTTGTTGATTGGACTAACTATTCTTTCAACCTTTGATGAGTAAATCTAATTTTTTTTTTTTTAATAAAAGGAAAACTAAGATCCTATGCTACTTGCTACAAAAGCAATGGACCAAGTCCCACTAAAATTTTACAAAAATCCTCCCCACAGGAAAATAATAAAATAAAATAGAGAAAAGAATTATACCTCTCATGGTCCTAAGAGAGAGAAGAGGGAGGAGAGATGAGACCCCATAAATGATATAAATCTGGTCTCCTGATCCTTAATTGTTGACTGAGTACCCATATTTTTTCCCTCTCTCTTTCAAGAAAACAATAGCTCTCTGTTTCTCTTCCAACTGGATAATTCTGATAGGCAACGGAAACTTGAAATATACACTTCTGTCTCTCTAAAATCACCACATCAACATACTCTGTTTTGCTTATTTGTTTGTTTCTCTGTTTTTCAAGCTCTCTCTCTGCTTTTTTTCCCTGAAAGTCGATTACTTTTTATCATTTTCCGTTATAAAGAGAAATCCATTCTCGATTTTAGAGGTACCTTTTACACAGAAGTCATGGGTTTCTGTTAAAACAGAAGAAAAAGAAACAAAGTAGTATTTTATCTGTCTTTCTGTCATTAAATATTCAGAGTGTTTTCTTGCTGTTTTTGTTGATTTAACGTGTTTTTTCTACGTCGGTTTTGATTTAACTTGAAGAATTAGCGTTGTTTGATTATCAAGACAAGTAATTTAGTTTCTTCATTGTTGATCGAAGCAGAGTGTCTCTGTTTTGTAGTGTAAGGGTGGAGTTTCCTTTAAGGAAAAAAAAAAAAACCGAAGGACAATATAAAACAAAGAAGTAAATCTCACTTTTGAGAGAAGGTTTTAGCGTTCCAGTTTGAAGCAAAAATACCTTGCCTGGATTTTCAGTCTCCGGTTACCGGACAAAGATTTGATCTTTGGAATAACATTGCCATTTTTTGTTTTTGTTGACAGCAATTTTTTTTTTATCTATTTTTAGTTTCTGTTTGATAAAGATAAAGAAAAAAGAAAAACAGTGATATACATATATACATACATATATATTTTCCTTATATTTAGATGTCCAAACGTCAAAAATTAGAAATCTCTAACATTTCTGCTTCTTTCTTTGAATAGGAAATCATATCCCTACAATCTCTCACTCTCTCTTCTCTTTCTTCCTTTATCTCTATTACCCCTCTGTTTTTGCTCTGTTTTCACAAGGACAAGAGGAAAACTCTTTGACTCTTAATTTCCTCTTTTTTTAGTCCAAAATCATGTTTTTTGACAAAGGGTCAATGCAATCCAACCTTGATTGCTTCCTCCATTGCACAACCCCACTAGTCCAATCTCAATTCCTCCCAAAGGTATGTTCTTTTTTCTTGTTTTGCCTTGTTTCTTTGCTTTTGATGAGTTCTTCTTTGTAAATTGAGTTGTGTGTGATTGTTGGCTAATTGTTTTGCTTGTGTTTATTTTGTGTTTTAGAGTGAGATTAGGAATCTAAACAGATTATGGCACCCATGGGAGAGAGACGCAGTGGAGTATTTTACATTGGGTGATCTATGGAATTGTTATGATGAATGGAGCGCTTATGGGGCTGGAGTTCCTATTGTTTTGAACAATGATGAAACTTTGGTTCAGTACTATGTGCCATATCTCTCTGCTATCCAAATTTTCACAAGCAATTCTTCAGTCAACAGTTTCAGGTAACACTTTATTTTTATTGTTTTTACGTTCCTTTTGAAAAGAATGAACTGTTCAAGTTATTATGTTAATTGATGTTATGAGATCATTGAAATGTTTCAAAATCCCAGAAATTTTATTGATTTTGTGACCAACTGTTGCAATTAGTCCTTTTATTTCTCCAGGTTTTTTAAATTTTTATGTTGGAAGTTTGTAGCATACTAATTGGGATGATGAATTATGTGATTTTTGAGTGTTCATCTTAAGTAGATGAATCTGAGAAAGTAACGTTTGGAATGGTTTTGATTGGTGTTGTTAGGGAAGACACTGAGTCTGGTGATGGCGAAACGAGGGACTCGTTCAGCGATTCGTGGAGTGATGATAGTGAGAGTGACAAGTTATGGAGGTGGGATGGATGCTCATCAGAGGAAGGAGGGTCAGAGCAAGACAACCCTTGGCCTATAAATGATAGATTGGGGCACCTATATTTTCAATACTTTGAGAGATCAACTCCTTATGGAAGAGTTCCTTTGATGGATAAGGTTGGTGTTTGTTTCCTCAATCTTACAGCTTTTAGCTTTTTCAATCTAATGTTCTTTACTTTGATTATCTTACAGCTTTTAGCTTTTTCAATCTAATGTTCTTTACTTTGATTAGCATTTTACATAGTTTGATTTATCAAAGATTATGTCTGATCAAAACAAAGGAAAAAGCTAATGATTTGCTGAGAATCATTCCACATCCTTTTCCTGATAAGCATCTGGTAAAGAGGAATGCAACTTTTGACCTTTGAATAAGAAGCTACAAAATGGAAATTACTACAATGTCTTAAGCTGATAGATTCATATCTTTCATTGTTAAGTTCATCATAGTGTTTCCTGAGCATATATTCTCACGTTGGATTGGTATTGTCTCTTTAACTTTATACTGTTATCTGGAAGAAGAATCTATGATGCCATCAACAACATGAGTTTTAAAAATTTGGGTTGATTTTGACTGTTAAAGATCCTAATTCCTCCACATTTTTAAAGTGCTTGGATTCCATTGACACCCACCTTCTTGGCCTTTCTGCTTACAGATTAACGGATTAGCTCGACGATTCCCGGGTTTAATGTCATTGAGAAGTGTAGATCTTTCACCAGCTAGTTGGATGGCAGTTGCTTGGTTGGTTTCTCAATCTTTCTCTGTTACATAACTCACACGACAAGTAATCAAACGACTTAAGTTAATTAACTTTTACACAAAGGCATGGTTTCCACATTTAACATGGTGCCTCATTGTTTTTCTTGCAAATCAATTCCATGGCAAGATTCCTGATTAGCTCCAATGAATGATTCTTTTAATACCCATCAACATGTTTACATTAATAATAGTGAATCATTTGTGGTCAACTATGTGCAGGTACCCTATCTATCACATTCCAATGGGAAGAACCATAAAGGACTTGTCAACATGCTTCCTGACTTACCACACCCTTTCATCATCTTTTCAAGGTATCTTTTCCAGCCCAGCTTTCTGATCTTTGTTTAGTCAGCTATGTGTAAGTTGATCGATTAGCTTATTTATTACGTGTTTTGCCGTATGTTTATGCCTTTAGATATGGAGGTAGAAGACAACATTGAGAGTCCAGAAAAGAAGCGAAAGGAAGGGGAAAGCATCACTCTCCCTCCATTTGGTTTGGCCACTTACAAGATGCAAGGGAACCTGTGGGTCTCAGGCAATTGCGGTCGCGACCAAGAGAGGCTAATGTCACTTTTAAGTGTGGCAGATTCATGGCTAAAGCAACTAAGGGTCCAGCACCATGACTTCAATTACTTCACGGGGATTAGGCGTGGCTAAAACCATGATTTCACTTTTGGAACCTCCACTTGACAGGGATTGGTCTCTAAAATCCTCCTTTTTTGTTGGATTTCCTGCTTGATAGTTTGGACAATGTGTCCGAGGATTTTAGTTAGTCTTTTCTCATAACCATGATCAATTTTTAGCCAGGCAGTGTTAATGAGGTTTGATAAGGAAATAGGGGATGTGAGTGTAGTTAATCCTCTCTTTTTTTGCTGCTGGTTAAGGGTTTAATGGGACCTTCTGTGTAGAGTAATGGATGAGGTTCTTTAGAGGTAGGATCAGAGGCTCTGGAACTTTGAACTTCCTTTGGATTGTGTAACACCTTCTCTTGACCATTATGAAATCACTGAAAATGAGGAACTTACTGATACTTTTGCAAGCTTCCTTCATGTGTTTGAATGTGCTTTTGGATTGTCCAACACTTTTTCTTAATCATTATTAATCTATTGTTTTTTGCATCAAGTATGACCATGTAGTGTCATCTTCTGTATGCTTGATGTCAGACGTGTTCCCCTACGACTAGTTTCATACCAGTAAATTTGGCCTATCTCAGAAAAGTGGGTCCTTAGAACCGTTGATCAATAATGCCCTTATTATCTAAAAAGGTTGGTTTGAGTGAAAGAAGTTTTAATTGTTTAAGCAAATGATCTCGAGTTAGAGTAGTTATATATGCAAACAATTCTTTAAATAGCTGTCTCCGTTTTATATATCTTACAGAATAGCAAGAGATTAGCCTAAGTCTTTAGGTTTAGGATACCTTAAAGGATAAAAAAAATGATGCCACTGAATTTGCTAGCATCAACTACAGCTCCTTCCTCCTTTAGGCAGAGATCAATAAAATCTCCCGCCATAATTCTGTTTTTAACAGTTTTAGAAAATCCTTTTTTCTCGTTTGTGTGGTGTTAGACATTAACTGCTGGTGTTCTAAAAAAATTAGACTCTTATAATCGATAAAAAATTCAGCATTATTTAGCACTGAACTAGCAATTATTATGTGTGTGTGGTCGCTTTAGGTAGGTCTTTCCATGCATTTAATTAGGAAATCCTTTAATACAGGATTCAGACATTCGGTTTTGAACTCAAATAATTTGGATTTCGATAACCAAACTCTCTAAAACTATACCTAAAACCAAACTAAATAAAGATTCTGAGTTTCGGGTTTGGCCCAAAAAAGCAGAATACCTACTTTTTTTTTAAGGATGCCAGCCAATTCTGTTTCCATCTCAATTTTTTGCCTTCTGTAATATTTTTTTTTCCTTAAAAGTTTTTGACTTTGTTGGTTGCAATTTCCAAAACCATCCAAACACTGCTGGCCCATAACACATGCCTGGACCAATGACTTTGAAATGGTGCATGTTTCTGTGTGCTGGCATTTAAGCTCATATAAGTGGACACTCAGGAACTTTATCAAGTCATTGGCTACAAAATTATGGTTAGGAGGCTAATCTTTTTGTCGCACAACATATTGGATAATCAATGACTTCATAGAATTTAGCACCTAGTTTTTCTTTTTTCTTTTTCCTTCCTGGTAGGTAGATGTGTTTAGTCTGAAAATGATCTTCGCTAAATGCCAGTTCCCAAGACCTAACATATTTTATTATAGTTCCCCAAAGACATGGGCATGCATGCCAAATGTATTGAGAGTTTGTCGTACTTGTCAAAGCATGAAAACAGCACTGGATATGAATGACTTGACAAATTTTAGCCTTTCTGTCGTCCTTCAAGGCAAGCTACTCAAATTCCTAGTGACCAAAAATTATCAGCTAGTAGTTTATCGATCTCCAGGATTACTTGTATCTATATATGTGAAACAAAAGTAAAACACTCTGTGGTATTCACTTATGTAAGGAGAATGGAATTTTATGACATGGGATCATTGCTTCTTTTCTACATGTCATTGCCTAGCATATTTAATTTTTAGGTAAAAAAATTTTATTTAGTTTTTAGCGTATTATTCTAATATCAATTGAATTATGAACATTTTGATTTTATTTGTTCATCTTTTTATTGTTAACAATAATTAAATTTGTACGTATTTGTTAAGTGCTTATAAAATTTCATTCGAGACATAAAAAAAAGCTTTAAGTTGGCTCAAAAGATATTAAACATGTTAGAGAACAATATAAATCATACCTTATATTTTACTTAAAAGTTTAAGTTTTTGGATAAGATAATCTTTTGACATGGTATCGAGTTTTGATAATTAAACGATGATGAATTTAAATCTCACCATCACTATTTCTTTTCTAATTAATTAAATATAAAGTAATATAGGTCTGAATAAATTAAGAAAGTATGTTAAAAAATATTAATATAAATTATATTCTATATCTCACTTAAAAATCTAAGCTTTTAAATGAGATAGATTCTTTACAAAACCTAATATGGCTCTCTTATTTTTTGGGTGACGAATGTGGTTGAAGTTCAATCTCGGATGATTATCAGGAAAGAATGGATTCAACTTACAAACATCCACCTTGTTTTGCACTCGTAAGGTCCCTAAAGCTTGCCTCTTGAGAGAACTTCAGCCTCATTCATTGCAGATTTTTCGTTGGAATTTAAAAGTGAGGTCACTTTCAAATCATGAGAAACCTAACCAAGAAGCACGTGCCATGCCCACATACACTTGCTAGTGATTTGTCAAAAACAAATGCATCCCATTGACTTGTATATTAGCCAGATAGACAGCTTCTATCCTTCCAAGTGCTATCTATTTGTTGCCCACTTTTGTCACTAGCCCTTTGCTTTGGAAACCCTTTCACATCTTATCCACGCAAATAAGATCAATCTATCTCAAATGTGCAACCAAAAGGCTATGCTATATATAAAAAGAAAAAGAGAAGAGAAGAAAAGAAACAAGGTTTTTCCCACCTTGGAAAGCCAATAGCCAACCAACAACATCACTAGCTGTATACGTGGGTTTCTCCAGTCAAAAGGTGGCATTAACAGAATGGTTGTATGGCACTTAATTTATGCTTGGAATCATTTGTCCATTACCCAAAAATATCATAATGGAATCACAAGATGGTAACCACTAGAAAGTAAGGGTAGGTTTATAAGTTAGATTTAAAATTTGATTTTTATACCCATTATTTTGGAGAATTTATTTTTAGAATGCTTGATATCGTAGACCGGAGAGTATCTCTTAATCACGTGTAAAAAGATATTAGTTTTGAAACATGAAATCACTAGTAAGCAAACGTTGATCAATAAAATAGATTTAAGGTTTGATCATTTTGGTTAGTATTTTTAAGAATTTATTTTTAAAATATTTAAAACTGTATATTGGAGAGTGTCTTTTAACCACATGTATAAAAAAATTAATCTCAAAATGCTCTGGCTTAAAAACGTCTTTAATGCTGAGCTTAAAAAATATCACAATGGCAATACTTCCCAATCCCAGATGCCACACAAATGGGGCTCTCTAATCTCTCCAACATGTCTTGTTTGGCTGCATTTACTGCTAAATCATTGGTTGATTTAATTTATTTCAGTGCCTTATGATCGGATATACGTATATTCAAAGTTTGTCGCTTGTGCGGGTGATCTTCATGCAGCATTAAATATTGTAAAATGTTAACTATGGATAGCAATATAATATTGAAAAGTTCAATTTGATAGGGAAATCAATTTAATTATGAAAAATGATTGGTGACACTATGGTGACAGACATTATTTTTAAAAATAGAAAGGATTTAGGGATAAATTTGAAAAATGAAAATATTAAATGACATAATAGTCATTAAAATAAAGTACTCTTCCTTGTATTCCTCCAAGAAAACACTATCCTTATAAAATTATGATCATTTTTTTTTACACCACTGGTGTCATGTAGCACTACTTTACTTATTTATTTTACAGAATTGACTCCTATCGTTTTCCTATATCATTGGATCTTATCCGATTAATATTTCTCAAATTGGTTTAAGAAGGGTTAACAATTTGGGAAAAAAAAGATTAAACATTTTTTAAGTTTTAAATTGACCCCATGACTGTTGAACATGGCCAATTTCTTAAAGTAACCAATAAAAGAGTAAATTATAAATTAGTCTCTTTGATTTTGAAAAATAAATTAATTAGTTCCTTATGTTTTTAAAACTAATTATTTAGTCCTTTTTTTTTGTTCATTTCATGCCTTTTTCTAATTTATTTTTCTTTTTAAATAAAAATAAATATCATGAATAAATTGTTGAGGAAAAAATACATTTTTAAAAAATAAAGTAATATTAAATTAATAGTGATAAATATTAATTAAAAAATTAATTTTTAAAACAAGAAAAACTAATTATTTCATTTATCAAAACTAAAGGGACTAATTTATAATTTACTTTCAATAAGAGAATCCATATTCCATATTCTATCCTTGGTGGATTATATTTTAATTCAATGTGATTGAAGTTCTCCTGCGAAGTTAGGTAGACTTTTCTTTTTTTCTTTTTTTCTTTTTTATAAATTTCAATATAGTACTTTTTCTTTAATAATTAACTTGGATTCAAGCCATCAAATACTCATGTTGAATTGAAACAATGTTCTTTCAATACTTCTCATTCTACTAGTTAATAGATATTGGAGTAATGGGATTTTGGGGAACGGTGTGCTCCAATCTCCAAAATTTGATTTTCCCAAGAGAGAGAGAGACAGAAAAAAAATAATAAAAAGTTGATAGAAGCATAATGTCACATGTTCCATAATTTTTTAATGGCTAAAAATTATTTTTAGGTTAGGCATGTTTTGACATCATAAAGTATAAGCAACCTTCTCTGTCCATTTGTCTTAAGTCTTTTATGCGTCTTGACTTTTACTCATGGTCACTCTTCTCCTTGATTTGTGCATACATTTCGTGCCAAATTAAGGAATTTAAGAAAATTAACAAAACTTGCCAAAGAGATAGTGATGGAGAATAAGTCACGAAAATTAAACCAGATAATTATATTGTAAGTATATCAATTTTTAATATTTTCTCAATTAAGTATATAAATTTTAATTTTTTTCATTTG